ACCGGCCGAGCAGTCCTACCGGCCTAGCAGTCCTACCGACCGAGCAGTCCTACCGGCCGGGCAGTCCTACCGGCCGAGCAGTCCTACCGGCCGAGCCATCCCACTCTCTGGGCCATCCCACTGGCCGACCTGTCCCACTCACTAAGCCGTCCCACTTAGTCTCTCACTTCCGCAAAGCTCCAACAAGCAGCCACATCTGACCAGCCGCCTGTGTTGAGGGGGTGGGGATGTCTACAGGGCTGACGCAGCTGACGGCTCCGCGACGCCACGTCCGCTTCTCATGGCGGCGGTGGTCCCTTCCCAGCTCTGCCTCCCGCCGCCAGCGGTCTCTTCCCAGCCGTAACTCACGTGACCAGTGGTACTCGGCCGTGACATTCACTTACCGGCGCCGCGGCCGGCGCCGCGCCGGCGCGGGCCAGGCCGGGGTCCGGCGGCGGCTGTGACGTCTGGCCGGAGGTGTGCCGCCGCGGCTAACGGTCAGGCGGCCGCAGACCGCAGGCGCGTCTGCGCAGGCGTCACACTGGAGCGACGGCTGCCGGCAATCGGCGGCGCACGAGCGGGGTATGCGGTGGTTTGCCCTTCCACTGGAGGAGAATATTGACAATGGTGTTCGAGCAAAGCTACCAGAACTGGCTTGCTGCTTTAAAATAGAAAACTGGTAGCGCTGAATGCGGTGAGTTAGTATGGACAGTCACAACCGCTATGTCGCGGTCTATCCAATGACCATACGTATCCGCTATGGGGAATAGACAGGAGACTAGAACATGAGCTTTTTTAAACATTTCGAGCTACTGCACGTGAGTGCTTCAATTCGGGTGTTATCATATGCGTGACTGATAAATCGAACCGTTATTTGACATCGATACGCAATTTAGTAACACACTTTCAACATCCTTACATTGGCCACCGTGTACTGACGTCAAAGTTGTTGAGTTTTTTCCATCTTCGCGCTTGACGTTGGCAAATTACGCCAGATCTGACGTGGCGCTCCGAAGAGCGGGTCGCGCGCAAGACCAACGCGGCGTCAAATTGGTGACGACGTGTCGCCGGCGACCCGTGCGCTCGCGAATAACCTGCCGGAACGGCTTGCTCTCCCGTTAGCACCGGGTCCACAGCCCGTTCGTTCCTCTAACTGGGGCGACATTGCGATGGCGTCACGGTCATGACGTCACCAGCAGCCGGCGGGGCGGAGACGCGCAGACAGCCTTGCCGCCGGCGATGTAACTCCGGCGGCCGCCGCTCGGTGCCGCCACCGTCGCTGCCTGCCCGGTCGTTGGCAGACACGGGAAGGTGAACCGAAGGCATAACCAAGGGATTTGAGGGGGGGATTGATTATAAGCTGTACTCCCTTTGAGAATCGACGCTTTTTGACCACGCCACAATGCTTACGATATCAAAATCTGGTGACGAGGATTTCGTCTGTAGTTGCATCGTATTGAATACCATGAGCAATGCCATGAGCAACAGTGGTACTTCATTATTTAGGTCAGCGGATATCCGCGTGGATATGCACAGCATATATCATTGATGTGTTAGGCACTGTACCTATTTTTGTTTGGTAAGTCTGTATAGTCTGTCTGTTTACAGTGTGTAGGGGAAAAGGACTGAGGCCCTATCATAAATAATTATACCACACAACCCTTCGCAAATTTCTGTAGCGCCCCCCCCCCCACATCACAAACCCTGGCCGCGCCAGTGATGCGAACAATCGAGTCATGAGTCAGACTCACCGCTGACTATGGCTGCCCTGTTCGCGGCAGGCTGAGCTGGCCCCGCCTGCCCACAGCACGACCGAGGCGTGAACGTTGGCGTTCAGGTGTGGCCTGCCGCCACCATTCATAACCGATCGACTCCGAGTTCAATGAACTCGACGTTTTAAACGGCAAAAAAGGAATCATTAAGTTCCCAGGCTAGGGGATGTTGTGCGAATGCGTCAAACGATACGTCCGTGCTTAAACGTTAACACAACGTCAGTAACAGATCAAAACCATGCGATAGAGCCGCACCATATTCTCTTAAGCCGTCAGAGTAGCCATCCAGTCATCAGGCGACGTCGGAACCGGTGCCAAAGGGAAAACTGGACGTATCTATTGAATGGAAGAGCCCAGCTCGTGTCAGGGCCGCCGCGGGCCGACAGTCTGTCGTCATCGACGCCCAGCACGCGTGGAGTGGTGGCCAGAAGAGGCCGTCGACCTCGACGGTCACGGCCAACCGGCGCCGGCGGTCGGCGGGGCGGACCAACGGACTTGCGAACGAGTGCCCCGGGTGGGGGAGGGGAGGGGCACCGCGCGGAGAGAAGCAGGCCGCTCCGGGGAAAGGCGGAGGGACGCTGCAGAGGTAGCGGGGTGCCAGGGCGAAGATCGATGCAGGGTTTGTCTAGTGGCCTGAAGTTCTCGGTTTAGTTATGGGCTAGCTTAAATGTGCAGTTGTTCTTAAGTTGTACGAATATCCCAAGTACATTCAGTTATTAGACTGACGCTGAGGAGGTTCAGTCGGGAATGCCCCCCGCCTACCGACAGTCAGCTGAGGATAAAAAAACGAGCTGAACACTGAGGCACGCCGCCTAACCCCACCTAACTTAACCCCATCTTATCTGACCGAGCCAAATTAACGACGTCAGAGCGCGGCACGTCGCATGTTCGGCGACAGGCCAAGTCACCAGATCCTGACCTGCCCACCAGGTCCAGCCGCCTGATCCCAATCCAGCTGGCCGGCGCAGTGGAGCTGTCAACATCCGGCACCGGCCGTCAAACAATTGGTGCTCTATTGAATCGGTGCCGACCGGGGGCGCCGGTGAACCGTCACGAGCTCGGGGTGTTCAGTCGACCGAGGTCGCCCTCGCACGCGTCACGTGCCATGCACACGCGCCGCCCACGCCACCAGCGGTTGCCTGTCGACGTGGGGATTAAGACACGGCATGCATGGCGCTTTGATTACATTCACGACGTAATTTCAGATGTGCGGAAGGCGCTTCGTGCAAACTTGCAATTAATGTGCAATTGTTAGCATCTCACCGATTACATGGCGTGCAAGATAAGGATAACAACAATATGGGGGTAAAGAATCTCACAAAATGGGTGAAAATGGTCACCACAATGCATGACGTTTGGGAGCTATGAGGGAAAAAGGAGGGAGAGACAAACAAAAAATACGGGTGAAAAGGAGAGAGGAGGAAGAGGAGGAGAGAGGAGGAAGAGGCGTCGACAAAGGCCCGCTCGCTCTGCATGCCGGTGCTGGGCGGTGTGTTTCGCGGTGGTAGCCGCAGCATTGTCCACTGCTCCCCCCTCCCTCCACACACACCGCCGGGATATGACGATGACGAACACCCTCCCCTGTGGGGATATGACGATGACGAACACCCTTCCCTGCGGGGATATGACGATGACGAACACCCTCCCCTGCGGAGATATGACGATGACGAACACCCTTCCCTGCGGAGATATGACGATGACGAACACCCTCCCCTGCGGGGATATGACGATGACGAACACCCTCCCCTGCGGAGATATGACGATGACGAACACCCTTCCCTGCGGAGATATGACGATGACGAACACCCTCCCCTGCGGGGATATGACGATGACGAACACCCTCCCCTACGGGGATATGACGATGACGAGCACCCTCCCCTGCGGAGATATGACGATGACGAACACCCTCCCCTACAGGGATATGACGATGACGAACACCTTCCCCTGCGGAGATATGACGATGACGAACACCCTCCCCTGCGGCGGGTCGCAGCATCCCTTATCAGGTGTCTAGCTCATCTGGCACAGCGACCCTGAACCTGCCTCGACCCTGGTACTATCTAGCCGGCACTGGCATGGCCCGGTCCCTGATCCGACTCGGTCTCTGACCTGGCCTAGCCCCTGACATGGCCTGGCCCCTGATTTGGCCCGGTCCCTGACTTGGCCCGGTCCCTGACATGACCCGGTCTCTGACCTGGCCTGGTACCTGACATGGCCCGGTCTCTGACCTAGCCCGGTACCTGACATGGCCCGGTCTCTGACCTGGTCCGGTGCCGGACCTGGCTCCCACGGACCACCGGCACCCTTGAGTGAGAACAATCCCCTGACCTGACCCGGTCCCTGGCTGGCTCCCATGGAGCGCCGACGACGCTGAGTAAGGACACGATGGCGGTCTGTAGCCGTAGGCGATGTACTTATCGTGGTGCTGCCGACAGCGGTGCAAGAGGCGTTGTTCTGGCCTTCCGCCCTCGACCTTGGAGTGGCGACGCTGTGTTTACAATCCGTGACATTGCAGGGGTGAGAGATGGAATGATCCTGGTGGAGTTGATGGGGGGGGGGGGGGGGAGGGGAAGTCCTGTTCGTCGGATGGTGTGGGTCACACCACGCCGGTCTTTGTGCTATCGCTCATGCTATGATCAGTTACTATGGTCCTGTTACAAAAGGGTGAAGAGAGAGGAGTGATCGAGGTGGAGGGAGGCTTGTGTCTTCATCAAGTGCCGTTCTTGGATGAATCCCTTCGCCATCTCAGAGCATTCTCATATTGCCACTGCACCAACACGAGCACGGGTATGACAATGACTTTAGACGTGGGATCTGTGCAAAAAAGCGCAACCCCTGAACCATTCCAAGAGACTTTGGCTAAGCGTTGCTCCAGTGCTGAGCGCTCCCACCAACTGAGGCTCAGTGGCCGCACCCCAGCTCGCCCCAGCTCCTCAACTCTCTCACCTCAGACTCAACAACTCCTCTCAGACTCTCTCTCTCTCTCCCTCTCTCTCTCTCTCTCTCTCTCTCTCTCTCTCAGTCTCTCTCTCTCTCTCTCTCTCTCTCTCTCTCTCTCTCTCTCTCTCTCTCTCTCTCTCTCTCTCTCTCTCTCTCTCTCTCTCTCTCTCTCTCTCTCTCTCTCTTTCTCTGTCACTCTCCTCTCCCGACTGCTGTCAGCTGACTTTTGATAATGTTTTCACCCAAGGACGCCCTACTAAAGCCGGCGCTGTCGCAGGCCGCCCTCTCTGATCGCCAGCTCTGTTGCAGGCCACTGCAGCTGACGTCTGTGGTGCTGGCGCTGTCGGCGCTGGCTGCCGGCCGGCCCTTCACCGGCCACTTCACGCTGATCCGGCCCGATGGGCAGACCATCAGCCAGAACTACATCGACGCGCCCGGCACGCCCGGCCACTTCCAGAACAAGCAGAAGAACTCGCCTACCTACTTTATCAAGCTGGCGCCGTCACCGTACACCTTCGTGCCCGGTGAGCGCCGGTGGGAGCGGAGGGATGGAGGCGGCGTGGCGCTTGGTTGAGGGCGGATTTGGTAGATAGGGTGTGCCTGCCATCCAATTTGGCGAAACTTAACAGTCTCCCGTGACGCCGTTAGGAAGGAAACTCGACTAAAGACGCATTCGCCTTCCATCCTCCCCACCCAGTTGTGCAGAGTTTCCGCCGTCACGGTCACGGTGAGCTCATCGCACCTGAGGGCGGCGGATTCTGCGCAGTTCAGTGATAAATACTCGACAAGCACGGCGTCTGTTAGTGCGCTTCATGCACGAAGACTTCGAAGTTACGTGGGGTTTAGTTTCTGAAACTCTCGCGATTATATATATATATATATATATATATATATATATATATCTCTCTCTCTCTCTCTCTCTCTCTCTCTCTCTCTCTCTCTCTCTCTCTCTCTCTCTCTCTCTCTCTCTCTCTGTCTATGAATCTATCTATCTATCTATCTATCTATCTATCTATCTGATATATATATATATATATATATATATATATATATATATATATATATATTTGTGTGCATGCATGTATGCATGAGTCCGTTTGATCATGCCATGCACTCCTCGCCAGTCCGGGCCTCACACTTTGCTCTTGAATGCGCAGTCACTGCCATGGCCCCCGCCAAGTAGATACTCAAATATTGATAGTTCCATTTGTTATTGTTTGATGCGCCGTAAGTGTTTCACACGTCACCGATGGTGCAAAATAACAGCAATCTTGGTAATTTACGTGCTGAGCGTCGATTTAGTTGGGGCAAGCAGCATCTGATCGGATGTTCCCGACTTCCCACTATTGCCCCTAATTGCTGGTGGAAACGAGAAGACCATCAATGATGTCAATTAATGAGCGCTTCTGACGAGGTCAGAGCCCTTGATGAATATCTTCATGCAAGAAGGCAGCTCATTGGTGTTGATGCCGATCACCACTCTTTACACATGCACGATTTCCTGTCACGTAGATTTGTCCTTGGCTACTGAACAAACGGCGTGGCTCAAGCAAAGTATCGTTGAACCCTTCCAACTCAGTTTATTTTCTCCTGCCGGGCTACACATGCAAAGACGTGCTACTTAATCAGTAGTTTGCAGCCACGTGCTTGAGCCCCTGCTCCACACTTCAGCGCTCACCCAGACAGCACCACGCGAAGCCAGACTCCAGCAACATGATTTTTGTGTTAAAATATCCTTACACATCAACCACTGAGAAACTGAGCCCGCATGGCCTTCCCCGCCGAGGAAACAGGGCTCGCACATCAGACTCAACAAGTCATCAGCCGGGTGTCATGGTGTGGTGTCCGGTGTCATGGTGTCAGGAGACTGACACGATGGACCTGGAGCCAGGGCCATGGGCATCAGTACATGACAGGCCACGGCATGACTTCACTGAGCGACACGGTCTAGTGTAAGGTCAGTGTTTGACACAGCACCTTGCCTCGTCACCGGCTGGCATTGCTCTCTGTGATTTGACTGATTGGCGTGGTGTGAAATTGTGTCAGTGACACGGCCACGATTGTTCGTCGATGATGACTGACCCGGCCTGACATGACACCACTGGTCAACACACATCAATATATCACTGTCTGACACCACCTCCGCAGTGGCTGACGATCCATAACGAGGCTCACGAGACGACGTGTTCCGCGTTCCCCTTAAAGCAATGACCTAAGTGGCCTGCAAGGCCACCGTGCCACTCGTGCTGCAACGCGCCGGCAACGGCAACGGCAACGCAACGAAACGCTGCGGCTCCGGCCGACATTGCAGTGCAACAACGCGCCGCGGCAGCAGCTGGCAGCGCAAGGTCGGCCGAAGGGCGCTCATTGCCGTGCGGAGGAAACGTCATGCTCGCCCGAGGCGACCCTGCGCAGCCGTCGCGCCGCAGGGTGACCTCTCGTGACCCCGGCCCGCTCGGTCGGCGGCGGCCGCTCAGATGTCTCGCTGGGGGCGGGGCCCACCAGCGGGCGCACGCGGCGTCATCTGACCTCGCAGCGCGCTGATTGGCTGGGTCGGCGGTGGCAGGTCATTGCAGTGTGACCCCGCGTGACGCTCGGCTCGAGCCAATACGCGGTAATGTGATGAGTCTGGTTGCGAGCGACGCGTAAAATGTGCTTCATTTCCTCCGCTCTTGCTGCGAGGCGGCGACTCTCCTGGGTGCAGTCATACACGCGCATTCACCTACCAGAATAATTGTCACACAAACCGAATGTATGTGACATTAACACGGAGTTGGATACCAGATTAAAAAGCACGCTAGTTGATTGGGTGGAAAACTGCCTCAACCCATTCCAGGACGACCTTTTGTATCCCTCCTATTTAGATTTGCATTAACTTCGAATGCACGGCCAGGCTATATCGTTACATACGCTGCGTTCATTCATGTATGTGCGCGATGTGTCAAGCCCATTATACGCATGGTTTTCCCAGGGCCTCATTTTCCAGCCCCGATCCGACTGACTTGCATTACGCACAAGCTGTCGTTATTACGTAAAGCCGCCAATGTTCCCAACCAGCGCACGTGTCTCGGTCAACATGGCTGTTGGTGCTTGGCCTGACGTTTATATTTCGCTCCACTCCAGGGCTTGGCTACGTGAGCAACCCACCGGTCAAGAACCCCTTCTTCAGCGTCAACTTCCCCTCCAACGGCAAGCCGAATGGCCTGTACTCGCTGAGCGAGCTGCGCGGCACCACCACCACGCCGACCCCCATCTCTCGCGCCGACAGCCCCGTCTCGTGGCTGCAGGGCAGGTACATGTTCAACGGCCGGCCCAGAGATGGCGTTACTGCCGTGCGCGCGCCGGCCAGCTCGTCGCTGCTCAACGCGCTGCTTGCGCGGAATGCGAACAGGAGCCCGTCGAGGTTCAGTTCGCGCCGTGGCAAGATTGACCTGTCGCTTTGGTAAGCGGCTGTGTGGCGTGCGGCGTGAGGCGTGAGAAGATCCTCACAAATGGCGTGAGGCGAGCCAGCTGGCCGGCCGCCGAGGCGGTTGCCATGACGACGTAGAGCGGGCCGCAAGCCTGCTGCCCCGATGTCTTTCCAATGCTAGGACAGCTGCTGGTACCAGAGGCCGTGGTGATCTCCTGTTGGACCGAGCCGTTGACACCGCACTGCACCACCGCACCAGCTGGCGGCGTGCGCACCAACACGTGCCGACACGTACCGTCCGGCATCCCCGCGACGTCTGGCTTGAGCAGCTGATTCGAGCTCCACGAGCAACGTGTTCTGAACATGTCAACGTGAGCTATACTGAACGCGGCTCGGGCGAGGAGCGTTATGGTCCAATGTGTGCAAACCGCTTTGGTGTTTACACTACACTGTGCCCGCGTGGCACGGTATGGCGGCGTTATTGGGCGTGCAGCTCGTGGCACAGCGGAGAGAGCAAGGGATGAGACCTATCAGCCCACAGGTAGATCGCACATGACTGTTGTATTGCTTACCTTCATGTAGCAGTGATGGAGTTGCACTCCTGGTGCCAGTGTCAGGTGCTGTCCGGCGAAGACAGAGTTCGAGCGTCACTTATCACCGTGTTACTGTTTGTTGTGTGCTTGCGTTGCATCTTCGGTGGCCATGCGAGTTATTGGAATAAATCACATTGCAAAAGGCATAGCGGTGTGTGGATACCCCCATCGAATGCGCATGGCACTTCCCGAACAAATTCGCGACGACAAACTGTAGTCGGATGCTCATAGGCACGAGAAGAAAATCATCTAAAACACTAATATGCTGGCTCTTTTGACGTCGCGGCAATAGCAGCATCCCGGTTCCCCGAAGGAGACCATCGTTCCACTCAGCTAGTAACTTTTAGGCTCAATAATGGCCTCATGCATGATGTCGCGCCGCCCTTTGCTTCTTTGTGTATTGGTTCCCTCGCCTACCGCACGGATTGCCTTCATATTGTAAGCCAAGTATGCATTGTGAACTCACAAATATGGCATGGCACCGATTATACACATCATCGCTCACATTTCAAGATGCACAGCACATGCCATCTTTTGCTAAAGGCTTTCTCATCTGACATTCCACACTCGGCTTTTCGTTGTCTTGTCAAGTTTCATTCGGGTTACGTTTCCGAACATTTAGGTCAGATGCATTGTTGGACGCCAGGTGGCAGCACTGTTGTTCCAGAGGGCAGCAGCAGCGCCGCGCCCATTCTCACATGTCCGAAGGCAGAGCGCAGTCGTAGCTGGCTTCTTGTGTTTTCCTTTGGTCAAGTTAGTCCAACATGCAGCGTCAAGTCAGTACAATGTAACTGGAATTACAGGTTTGGGGCTCACTAACGCTTCAAGCGTGGGTAAGCAAGGATTGGACCAAGACCTTGTGATTGTGAATGGTATAAGTTTACACGCGCTCGGGTGGGGGACAATTTAACCCCCCCCCCCCCGAATGTTTTTCCGCAATAGTTTCCGAACAGCGCGGCGTACCTGCGCCAAATTCTGCATAACTGCAGACAGTTGAACAGCGGATCGTCTGACATCAGAATTTAGTTTGTACCTTGTAAGGTCGCTGACCTATGGAAGGTCAAGGTAAGGCCATGGTTTCAGCTAAGGCAATTTCTATGGAACTGTTCGATCTGATCCAACATCTGAGTGTTAGATGAAGCCATGCATCTCTTAGATACTTTCTTAGGCAACACAACAATTGAGCAAATTGCGTTGACGTAAGGTCAGATATGAAGGTCAGACAAATTTCAAAAACCAATCTGTTTTATGACTCTAAGGCTTGCTGTATCGGGTAGCTTCTGGTATTCATTTCGAATGTATTGACAACGCGAACCGCTTTACTTACCTTCCATAGACTTCTTGAAGGTCAGAATAAGTCACTAACCTGGACTAACCCAGATCAATATTCTGTTTTTAGTAACATACTGCCTAGCGTAATCTCTGTCACTTATTCAACTGCAAAACTCAAAGCAATCTGGTATGATTTGGTCACCATGACCTTTAAAAGGTCAAACAAGGTCATGACTTGGATGATCATGTGACCTTTTGCTTAGAACAGCTAACTATGTCTCTAAGGCCCTTAGAAGACCAGCCTGAAATTTTGACCTTGTTTGATTATTTGACCCGAAAGGCTATGGAAGTTAAATAATAATGTATTATTGACTTATATTAAATAACTACTTTGAATAATTACTACAGGCCTAGAAATCTAAAACTTTGACTTAAGTGAGGTCAACACAACACAGGTACAGGTCAACACACCCTGTGAATTTGGTTCTCATAGCTCTCATAGTTCCAGAGATCTCAGGAATCAAATTGACCCCCACCCGCGCGAAGGGTATCTAATGGGCCAACCGGGCGCGTGTTAAGCTCCCTGGTCATGATGCGCGCAACAACGCTTAGCTTCTGATCAGCGACCGTCGCGGAGTTCAAAGTAACCATCCTCCACAGGTTTTCGGAGTAGCGTGCGATCTGTTCCAGTCGGACCAACGGACTCTTAGCATCTGCCAGCTTACCTGCGTGATAGATTTTGTGGAAAAACGGCTCAGTTTTTGACCAGGCCACGAGGTTATGGCGTGGCTTCAGTTGGATTTATTGGACTTTCTATGGTGTAGTGTACTAGTGATAACAGTTAGCGCGACAGCGGCTGCTTCTAAATGGATGCGGCGATCAGCAATATGGGAGGCCTGAGCTAGTTGGGCACCTTTTGGCCTTCAGCAACAAAACTCAGGTATGCTTCAAGATATCTATATGTGTTTTGTGTCCTTGAACAGTCCATTGTCTTGCATATGAAATTGCACTTAATTTATTTGGGATGTTTACTCCTTCAGGGTGCTCCAATGGAACAAAGCAGCAAACCTCGAATGTCAGGGAGGGCAAGTAGGCTTACTACATAAAATCGAGATAAAGATACGTGTATTTATGTCTTTGCCTTCGTCAAGGTGGTCGTCTTCCCTCAAAGTCTTAACTGCAAGCATCTTCTTAAAAGGCATGCAACAACGGATGTCTCCTGCAGCAAAACCATCATCTCTTTGTATGCTCCATATGTAGACTCATATCAACGCTTCTCTACGAGCGAAAGTGACAAAACAGAGCTCTCTGCAGCTAAGGCCGCCTGGCAGAGTTAGGATAAAAAGCGGCTCCAGGCAGCACAGAACACTTATCGCTGTTTATGGTTACCAGACATTGTCATCTGGCGGACACAAGGCTTGCGCAATTTCCCCTCTGCGTGAGACGCACAGTCCGCTTAATCGTTACCAGTTGCCAGGGCTGGTAAAAGTGTACTTTTTGTCGCCGACCAAATTTCTGGAGAAAAATTGCCGCCAGCAGCGTAATGCAATATTGTATGACTAAATGGTAATGAAGTACATGCCCAGTCGCGTCATCAGGAATCACCCATCACCAAAAGCTTGTTTTATCATTGCAATTCTTAATATCATGAACACAACCGAAACGCTCAATCATAAACTGTCCTTCAACGACTGTCAGGATGAATACTGCTGCTAGAAAAGCAGGCACACCTGCCCTAAACTGGGACAGCCCAATCACAGCAGGCGGTTTTTTCCACCTTCGGAACTTGCCGGGGTCTCACGTTTAAGCTCGATCTACTGCTGGATTTGCTTTCCTCGACGGCAAAAAAAGAAACAACGAGGGACCACGACAGCCAGGGCAACAGAATGCGTGGCAGAATTCGAACCAATGACGAGCAGCACTGGGGATGACGTCCAAGATGCGGACCTTCTCCATGCCATGGCACATTAAAAAAAATCACGTCTGCGCTTCGAGCCCCGTCTCAACCGTCATTAGACTATCCACTAGGGCTTAGATATGCTCCAAGCCTGGTGCGACATGTTTTGCCCGGTGAGTGCCTTTCGCCGTGCCCCAGCAAGTAAATTGTATCCAAATTTGTTAATAAATTCACGTCACGCGGCTAGTTCTTTCTGAACAGGATAATCGCCATGACAGGAGTGGGAGAGGGCAATGTGACCCCCCCTCCCACTCCCAACGGTTTTCTGAGGGTGCCAGTGCGGCATATTGTGCAGGCCAATTCTTGGGTAGCCTCTGGGACATTAATTCCACGCCTACTGACACCAAAGTGTCCTTAGCAATTCTGGTTTCAGAGCAGCGATGCTTTTTACGACCATTGCAAGACGATTCAGGGGCGGCGGGTGCGGTGAACTGCAAGCGACGTTTCCGCGAACCGCGTGCGGTGCGTTGGCACCGTTACATAAACGAAGCCCAACATTATAAACAAAGGCTCCAAACGGTTAAAACTACATACCACTCTACCACTCTACTACTCATAATTAATCTATTATACACACGGTGGTACAAAAACCTGCATTTCACATCATGCAAACATCAATTGCTGCAGCAATATGACACATTTTGTTACCAGCATCCGAACTTTGATAGAAATTCAGCCAGCAGGCTAAAATTACCCTTTCGATGTGAGTAGCACGCAAGTATAAGGATATGCCATGTTTCCTATGTGCAATGCAGGAGTATCAACTCAAATTAATTGCTGGGGCACTATCAAAATGGCTTGCCGGGTTGGGCAGCCTCAATGATTTCTCCCACTCCGGCCAACATTTCTGGATGAAAAATTACACAAAGATTCGAGAAAAAGCTAACTTTAAAACAGTACCATCTTCCCTGTGTTTTGTTTATTGACCATGGCCCATGATCTACTACTTCCCCCTAATCATGCATGAAAATTGACGCTCCTGTCACTATGCGACCTCCACATACAGTATATTCATTTCTACTCTCAGCATAGGTTGCATATGAGGTAGGCTGTCTGCCATCACAATCTGTGCAAAACGTTTAAACATGATTGTGCCAACGGTTCAATCAGGACAATTTTGCAATTCATTGTTAGCAAAAACAGCAATGAAATTTACCATATTTGTATCCACGCAACGCCATACTCATTGCGTGCAAAGTCAAAACAAGATATGGATATGAGTGAGCACTGCAGGATGAATAATTTATATACCTTTCCTGTTACAGTAGGAGTGGAAAATAATAACGTCAGGGAATAGCCAACACTGTTCTCAGAGACAACACAATGCCAGCCTTTCACTGACCTCATAGAACACTTGGACCAAAATGCCATAAAAACTAAGGAATAAAGCCATAAAACGAGCGCCAGTTGCAAAGTTGCAGTGCATTGAAAGTCACCACCCGCCTCATGTCAGTCGCATCGCAGCGACTGAGACATTCCCTTGCGATCAGACTAATTCCCACATCTAGAACTTTTTTGAATATTTTGTACTCCCTGGTTTAGGACACCGAGAGTCAGCTGGTAAGAACAGCGAATCGGCCGACCAGCCGGACCATAGGAAATGCACTGATTTGTCGCCGACCTGTCACCGAGTCGGACGACCAACTTGAAGTCATTGGCTGTTTTTGTCGCTGGGTTGGAATAACATCTAGAGAAGATGCCATGGTGCCGTAGATTGCGGCAAACAGTCTTTGCGGAAAGATTTGTTCGTTTTGTGTGGTGAAATGTATTACCATGGAGGCATAACATCTCCGCATGGAGACCCCATGTTCAGTTTTGCGTAGTGTGCTATGTTATTCTGTTTTGAACGTCACCAGAATTTTCTGTCAAAAGCATTTTTGACACACGCCTTTGCGTAAATATATACAT